CTCACGCCACCACCAGCACTTATATAGCTACCTAGATACACGAACTTCTCAACTACTTCGATCTCCTCACCATCCAGGGTGAGTACAGGATGAGAATCCTGCCAGTCTTGTAGAAGTACTTTGCACTTGGAGGGTGCAAAGCACATACCGTACCTGCGGACACTGATTGCCAACTGATTAAGTGCTGATTGCATGCCTTGGGCATTATCGCACAGTAAGACAATATCATCCGCATACTCAAGGTCGAGAAGTCGTTCTCCAGGCAACATATCCACACCGCCATTACTTACATCCATCAGAGCTGTTTCCAGGATGTCGTCGATAGCAAAGTTGAAGAGGAATGGTGAGATCGGGCAACCCTGCCTAACCCCACTGCTCGAATGGAACAAGGGAGAAAGGTGGTTGTATGCCCTCACTCTGCCTGAGGTGTTCGTGTACAGGGCCTTTAAGATGTTAATGAACTTCTCAGGCACACCCTTCTTCAATAGACAATCCCAGAGAACAGTCCTGTCCAACGAATCGAAGGCAGCCCTGATATCAAGAAACACTACGATTGTTGGCCTGCGATAAGTATGACGGTGTTCTAACATTTGGCGGAGGGTGAAGATGTGATCAATGCATCCTCGACCAGAACGAAAACCAGCCTGCTCCTCGCGAGTCAATCGTTCTCGGGTTTTAAACAACCTACGATGAATGATAGAAGCCAATAGTTTGGACGCAATCGGAAGTAGACTTATCCCCCGATAGTTATTGCAGGAACAACGCGAACCCTTTTTAAAGATAGGGACGACTATTGACTCATTCCATGATGTTGGAACACTTTCTTGCTCCCAAACCTTTCCAAACAACACAGTCAATTCCTTAGTCAGAAAGTCGCCACCATCTTTAAAAAGAGCCGGAGGTAAGTCATCTGGGCCAGGTGATTTGTAGCGCTTCAAGAGTTGGAGTTCCTTGCGGACTTCCGCCTCGTTTGGTGGATCAGTCGTCACCGGCCATGGGGGGCAGGACAAGCTGGTTGATGTTGCCGGAGCAGCAGGCCAGTTGAACTGCCCTTCGAAAAATTCCGCCCATCGTCCAAGACGTCGGGAGATGTTAGTGATTGGCATCCCATCATCCTCGTAGATTGTTTCACTCACACCAGACTTCTTGCTGCCAGTGGCTCGGATGAGTTGGAAGAGCTTCCGGCAGTTACCAGATGCAGCTGCTGCTTCCATCTCATTAGCACGCTCCGACCACCAGGCTTCCCGGTCCTTACGCAAGCTTTGCCCAATTTCATTACGTAACAGCCTTCGTTTGTGGTCAAACTCACGGTCACCCGGAGTAGACCGACGGGCTTCCATCAGTTGTAAGGAGCCAGAAGAAACCCAGTGCTTGTAAGCGGGACGTTTCGCGAAGCCGCAAGCGGCTTTACTCGCCATTTTCATGGCGTCGTGAAGATGCAACCAATGCTCATCTATACTTTTCGGTGGGGTGTTAGCTAGTTTAGAGGCTAGCTCCGCTCGGTACTTACTTGCAACAGGAGTTGCAGCCAGTTTACTAATATCAATCCGTTGGTGGTGATCAATCCTTCGGCCACTGAAAAGTAAGGTGAGATTGGCGCAGACCAGGGCATGATCAGACTCCAGATAGGTACTCCAAAAGGAGCGGCAGTCTTGTACACAACCACGCCAGCGGTAGCTGATCGCGATGTGATCAATCTGAGTCCAGGCTTGGGATGCAGAGGGAGGACGCCAGGTGGCACACCGGCGATGACTGTGCCGGAAGTTAGTGCTGGCCAGAAACAGGTTGTGGTCTGTGCACAGTTGCAGCAAACGGTCCCCGTTATCTGTCCTGCGACCAACAAGTCCCCATCGGCCACCTAGACGACTCTCTTCTGTGTCTAGACGCCCGACCTGTGCATTCAAGTCTCCGGCTAGTACTACAATATCTGTCGAACGCGCTTTCTGGAGAAGAACTGTTAACTGATGGTAAAACTCATCCTTGATTGCATCCGGGCTGCAATCTGTCGGGGCATAGGCGGAGATGACGAAAAGACACCGTTTCTCACGCCGGTTTCTTCTCAATTTGATGGAACTTTCTAATCTAACAGCACATAACCGACTGTTAATGGGGAACCAATCGATTAGTGCTGCCTCAGCCCTAGCGCTTAGTGCGACACCAACGCCAGCAAGACCAGACGAAGATGCCACAGGGTCCCCAGATAAGCGCACGTGGAACAAGCTTTTCGAGGCGACAGATGGAGAGCGGATTTGTAGTACTTCACTAGAGTCTTGAATACGGGTCTCGGATAGACAGCAAACATCAACATTAAGACCTTCCAAAGACATAGCCAGCCCTATCTGTTGTCTGATCTGCATTAGTGTGCGAACGTTGAAGGAAGCCAGCTTGAACGGCGTACGTGGTTTCAGAAAGACTGCCTCAGTATTCATTATCGGTGGAAGCATTCACTTTCATCCAGACAGTGACTGGAGATCGTTTAGATAGGACAGATTTTCCACCAAGAGCGAGCTGATGCATAAGTTGAAGAGTAAGGTTACACAAATTGGGGGTAAAAGGGGGTGAATTAGCGATATGGTAAGTAATAATAATAATAATAGTAATAATAATAATAATGATAATAATAACGTAAATTGTCTTGCTTATAATATGAGCAGGAATAGAATCGTCAATAAAGTTCGTCATTTCATTCATTTGTGTGTGGGCTGTGATACTGCCCGGGTGCTAACATTCTTAAGTTATACCTAGTCTATTAATTGCTACCTCCAACATTCACAGCCACATTCGGCTAAATCTTGTACAAAAGTTATTTTCTATTTTATTGCTACATAGTCAGTCTGTTTGGTACATAAACTCAGTATGTTTGAAATACAATGATTCATACCGCAGGGGCTGTTATTGGTGTTCTGGACTTAACTGGCTAAGCTAGATAGAAGCAGGATCGATAAGCGCTCTAGACTGCTCGTACGGTTTTCGTGTGTCACTGTTCCAATCGATAATTCGCTGCTCTCTGATTGATGGTCTTATCACGTCATACATTAACAAGGCATCCACTCAGCCACAAGTTATAACAGAATGAAGCGAATTTGATATTTTTGATATAATGAAAAAAATATAAACTAATAAATCCAGCGTTTACAATTGAATGGTACAGAAAAGAGCTATTGGTTTTTGTTAGATATGAGAGAAGTTCTATTGAGAAGCAGTAACCAGTGGAGTTCAACCAGGTCTATTGGGAGATATCAACTCACTGAAGACATTGGTGAATGGTTGCTCAATTTCGTGGATTGGTTGAAGTTAGATATTAACACCGTTGGATGCCGGTTCAGTGCTCTGGCGCGAGACTGGTAGGTCCTGGGTTCGAATCTCACGAGGCGAGGTCGTGGATGCGCACTGCTTAGGAGTCACACAATAAAACGAAACGGTCGTCCAGTGCTTCTAGTTTTTCCATGGTGGTCTAGCTTCAATTGACTCATGATCTTAACTATATATGAGAGAATAATTGAATAAAGTAAGATTGTCTAAAACTATTCTAAGAGCGATTGTTCTAATATTACTTTTAATTTAGATTTATTGATTCATTTGAGTTAATAGTTGTTTTTTTATTACCCTATGATTGTGAACTTTCATTTAAATCATTGGATGTTTTACAATTCAGATAAAGAAAATTAACGCTAATCAATGATGCAGTAATCATTCAATGTTGTACTATAAATGATCTAGTTGTATACATATTTTAATTTTTTATATATGGTGTATTGTGGTTTTATAATTAGTGTATATTATCATATGCGGTCTTTCTGATATCGTTGGAGAAGAGCTAAACACTTTGTATAATACTACTAGGGAAAACGGATACGTTGATGAGTCTATAAACAAATATATGATCCTAAAGGTTAGAATAAGAGAAATACAGACAGAAAATAAGAAATCCATATTTATTTGATTACAATTCAGAGGTGGTGCAATCAAAGAAATGCTAAATATATCGTATTTAATTTCTATTCAATTGTCCATATTTGATCGACAATAATTTGTTTTAAAAATATGTGATCAACCGATCAACAGTCAATACTATTGCGTATAAGAAGCTTCAATAATTTTTAGTCATTAGTCTTGTATATTGAAACATAAGATTAGTTGATTGAATGTGAGTGTTTCGTTTGTTCTTGTTATTGAAAAGTTATTAGTATTACGGTACAATATTAAGTTTTGGTTGATAGTTAGAATGGTGTTGGCGGGTGCATGTGTGTGGGAGAGTAAAAATCTGTTTTTATTTCCTCTAATTCAGCATATGATTCAGAGATAGTGAAAATTTGTAGCTCAGATGGATAATTTAAGGGACGTTTATCCATTCCGTAAAGCTAATCAATTTAATCATGTTTTTGTTATTCTAAAGGAGAACATATTTAGAAGAAATTCCAGGTAGAAGTGATCGATTCGAATTTTTCCATACATAAACTGACGACCTGTTTGTATTAACGATGTTATCTAGAAGTTACAATGAAGGCTTCAAAGTACTAGCACCACGAAAAAAAGAATTCAGCAGGACAGTTTAGACTAAGCACATCATGATCATCAGACAACAAACTTAATATTAGTAGCTAGAAACTAGGCCTCCTAATGTTTAACAGTCACTCTCTGGGAATCTTAATCACTAACACTACTACTGTGGTGTATATTACTTATGTCTGTTGGTATAAGTAGTATGTAACACCAAACAAAAGAGGAATACATTGCAGATGAAGGCTATGAAGGTCAAATTGAAAAAAAAACGGAAACGGAAATATAAAGGAATTGTAACTTAGAAGAAAGATGCAGAATGTGAGGGACAAATAATGGAATTTTGCAAATGAAATATTCAGTGTATGGTTCTCATAACTTAACAAGAAAATTTGTAATTTTGTACTTAAATACAATACTACGACTACTATTACTACTAATAATAATATTGTTAATAATAATACACGATTTAAGGAGAAAGGTACTGAAATATAACCTACTGATTTCGTCAATAATAATCCCATCTTCCACAGAAATATGAATAAATAAATTTGTCCAACGGTCATAGACAGATAGTTTTCTAGAAAACAAAAAAGATCAGGTTTTGAATCTACACAAACCATGAACTATGAACATGTGATGATATCCGAAGATCAATGAACATCTAATGAATTTATCATTTTGAATATTGGTTAACTCTATTACTGCTATGATAACTATTAAGTGAATCTATTTTGTTGTGGTGCAAGAAGTTTGTAGAAATTCCCTTACGCCACGGACTAACAGAAGTTAGAAATTCAGAGAACACTAGATAGTTGTTTAGTCCTACTAAGTGACATGTTAGTAGTGAACAATCATCACACAACCAGCGATAGAACTCAAGGCTTTCAGACCGTGGGCGTAACCTTTAGATTAATGAACTGCGATTCAATAATAGGATGATTTAACTTCATTCGGCTTGGGGTGATGTACGGTCTTTGTTCAATGCAATAATTGATATGTATAACACATATACTATATGACTGAACTCAGCCGATCATGACTCACTAACTACAATCTTGAGAATTCTCAAAATTAGTTGGTAGTGAGGAAAAGATTATTAGGACGATCTCGCCCTATACTGAATTTTGGAATATGAATCTGAGTATTAACTCAGTGACCTAAAATTGATATAACCATTGTCCCGCTCTAGAAGGTTTTTAGGGTTCAATCCTTAGTGAAGTTGTCGATGGATTCTTGCTAAGGAGTTCTGCACTAGTGAGAAATAGATGATCCAGTGCTTTCTAGTGTTTTAGGTTATGGAGCAAGACTACCTTTAAGACCAGTTTCTGATTACATGCATCTCACATTTAAACGTTTAAAAAACAAGGTATGTACTTACTTGAGTACTTGTGCAACAGTATTTGGACCAAACCAACTTCCAATCGATTTACCAAGTGATACACCTGTGAGGGCTAACAGCAAAGCAAATAAAAAGAAGCAGATAGACATTTATGTCATATATTTATCATGAAGAGCAGTTTGTCTTATATTTTCGGTGATTGTGACTTAGAAATTGGAAAAAAGCACGATCTAGACGATAAGTAAGCATCATTAACAAAGGTTGACTTGGTAATTCTAAATAAATTAAAGACTGGGTAGGATGATAATAATGAAATAAGGATATATTTGTAATATCCTAACACAAGTTTAAAACTTGAATTTAATTTCGGCTATTTGTTTATTTACTCTGAAGAATCGACTTAAATTAAGTCTAGAAACGTCAAAGATAGTCGGTTTAGACAACTAGATAGCGTAGCTTCCAGAATACTAGATAAATCTAAATATGATTACTCAGTCATAATTAACGTGAAACCTGACATAATCGTGCGTTCGTTCACATTACCAAACCATATCAACACGGATAGATAAAAAAAGGGGAATAGCAAAGTTGAAGTAACGTAGTGACGATACTGGGAACGACTAATCATTGAAAATGAGGTTCGGGAAGTCATAATGAAAAAATATGTATAAAGGAACAGTGGAGCTCAGAATGTGGAGGAAAATGTCGATGCATCTGCCTTATTGTAGCCGACTCTGAGGCATGTCATTTAACATCTCCATCCACTGATTGCAGTTATCGTTCCGACTTCAACCATGTAGTCTCCACCTACCAATGGACAATAACTTTATGGACCGTTGCTACATCTTGATTGGGGCGTCTCTGGTTTTTTCCAAATGACTTCTACACCAACCAGCAATACCCATCGATGCGCAGGATAGTTGGAGATACGTAAAACATATTCTAACCGTCTCAGTCGATAACCTCGCTAATTGATTTACCATACTTGCTTAACTCCAACACTATTCGCTTAGCCGTTTCATGATAGACAAACGTTGCTTCGAAGACACCTATAATCAAAATTCTGTCGGTAACCCATGTCTTCTATCTTCATGGACCATATTTTGTAGCCGCATAGTAGTAGAGAATGGATTTACGTGCGGTATACTCCCGCTTAGGTTAGAAGACTGACATTTTTCCCACGCTACATATTATGTAAGTTTAAGAGAACCAGGAGACCTTCCTGAAACCGTGCAGAAATGTTGTCAAAAGACTATTCCAGCAGAGCTGGTGAGACTCCTAAGTCGATAAGCGAACCTCCTGGTAGGAGAACATCTATGACAAAATTGGGTAGAAAGAGGGAAAGTGGGGGACTCCAACGAATACCACTTTAGGTTAGTGGTTTGAATGAAAATTTACCATAAGCTATAACCCAACCGATTGTGTTTATAAAGAGAGCTTATTTAAAATCTATGTACTTAAGTAACGTGATTTATATTCTGCAGTTGGTAAAGTTTTAGTTGTTTTACAAATACTGGTAACAAATACGTTAAACAAATAAATGGTACATCACGATTTCACAAAATACGAAAAAGTATTATATTTACTTATAGTCTGAATTGAATAAAGCGCAGACCGTCGATCTTGAAACATTTGTAGAAGACGATAATATTCCGGGCTTTCTTGTTCAGGACTCCATTTCCATGCTGAAAGGTGATGATGAAATAATTAGTGGGCTATTTTGTTAAAATAGAGGAATCGTATTATATACAAGTTTAAGATGTGATAATGAATATTGATTAGTAAGAGAAACCTTGATTTTAATGTTTCTATTGCGCTCAATCAGTAAGAAAAATAATAATGTAGGTACATTTTTGATGGAGTTTTGTTCTCTGAGCTGGATGGTTCGGTCGTGGAGCTTTCATCGTTATTCTGAACGACATCATCAGCACAAACTTCAGGTAGAAGTGAAGTGTTTAAATTTTTCTACATATAGTTCTGTAGACCTCGATGTTGATTGGTTATTGTTGACCCTAAGCCTGTCATTGTTTACTTCTTTATTTTGGTTGTATATCCCATTCGTTTGATTTTGATCAAAATAATCCACGTAAGTACAATTCTTTGACACAGGTAGAGATTTATTTGACGACATAAGAACAACTCAACTCAGTGATAGTGGTCTAATTAAAATCCTCCAAATGAGGTCACGTTGTGTTAATCAAAATCCACCTAACTGACAGGTGTTATTGACTAGGAAATGGTTTCATCTTCTGAGTACATAAATTACCATATTTCAACATTATTTTTTCTTAGTCGTAGTGCTATTCAATAAACTTTGTGAAACATCAGAATCATATATATATATATATATATATATATATATATATATATATATATATATATATATATATATATATATATATATATATATATATATATATATAGTGTAGATTTGAATATATACAGAGAGTGATTATTATCTCCTAGATTTTAACAACCATCCAGATGATAAAGTTCAACATTACAATTTTAGAATTCTTGTATATTTGAAAGAAATGAAATCAATTCATTTCTATCTTTTATATAATGTTATTTGTTTGAATTCATTTGGTCAGAAACCCATAATTTAAATTTTATTCCTATTGAAGTACGAACGATCTATAGGCAGCTTATTAAATATTCAAACCTTAATGATGATGATTGCGACAACTATTGCACATAGATCAAGTTATAGTTTGACTCAATATCCAAAATCCATCTTTAAGGGTCAGATAGTTTGTATAGCTCTATTTAGAAATGTACTAAAGTAACTTATTATTCTTTTTGATGGTTAGACTTAGTACAATCAGATTTCATGATGAGTGTAATAACTGGACTGTGAACTTAATGTATATGGCAATGATATAATGAGGAGTAAATTTAATAAATGATATATATATATATATATATATATATATATATATATATATAAACAGACATCGTCCGAGGTGAAATCTTAACATGGCTTCAGCAAGAATCATTTGTCCACAGCGATGCATACAACCCCATCCAGCATCTGATTTAGGACCATTTCGACTGCCAATCGGGGAGAAACCCTTTCGGTAAGTCATCCATAGTCGAGACTTTAGGTGAAGTGCAATTTCCTCCCTATCTGAAACAGCAAATAGGAAAGTGCAAACAAAAACAAACAGTAATACAGCTACGAGGGAAAAGCGGTTCACTGTGAAAGATAAAACTGTGTAGTAAAATATGTATATGAAGTTAACGAACTCCCTACATGTTTTCCATATTTAGACGCTCAAGAATTAGTCCTACGAATCACATTTATCTAAACAAATACTGGTACAAATGGACGCCAAAACAAATAAACATCACACAAATATGTGATCGTGAAGGGAGAGAAGAAGGGGAATATAGTCAAGTAAATAAACGAATAGAAATAAGTGAAAGAGAATACATTATAATGAGAGACAAATTCGTTTGAAAAAATATGACTAAGAAAATTCCTTCCAGTTAGAGAAGTTCCGCACAATTTTATGAAGAATGTAAAGGAAAACTACACCAAGACCGTCAATAGCTTCTATTCTGAGTCATGTTTGATAGCATCTCAAGTCATCATCTCTTGGACCTGAACATTTATTTATTTGAACATATAAATATTGATATAAAAAAGCACCGAATACATACGCGCCACACAAGTCACTTGATTTGTGTGTGGGTTGTGATACTGCCCCTGCGCCCAGACCGAAGCAGGTGGTTTTTTAGGAGGCCACACCCAGAGCCTTCAACCTAAAAGTCTGGCCTACAAGGCTGTAGAGTAACGTTGGAAGATGCAGTACCATGGTAGCCGGTGACCAACGATTGGTTCATATGCCATTTTTTCCTTCAAGATTCTGGAGCCCATGTGCACCATTGGTTTGGAATCAGAGTTTTCCAACTCCCCCATGTGGATCCTCCATGTCCACCAACCCTGTTAAAGCGCCAGACATTCGCTTTTCGTCCTCTCAATTTCGTAAACAACGGTAATGCCACGAGAAGGCAGTGAGTAGGACTTCCCTAGTAGTAGTAGTATATGCGTGGCCATGTGGGAGTATATCGAGTGAGCTGACTTTCCCCACCCTCTGCCGTACTAGGGCATTTGGGGACGACCTGAGCAAGGTTCAGTCAGTTAGTTAAACACAACCAGGGAGTCGTGACGAACTTACAGGCACCAGTATTATACAGCTTTTTCCATACCTCATGAACCTGTCACAGACTAACCACTTCTCTGCTTTTCCAGCTAGTCTCTGTCGGTAATTAATGCATGGTGCAGCGGCCACTCGAATAGTATTTGTAACACATGTCCGAGATATAGAAGCCAATCTTTCAAGGTGGTGGCACCAATTCAGTTATCACCACTTTCAACAAACACATATTGCCAAAACCATTACCAACATAATGTTGCCACAGAATGTCAGAAATGCTTTAGAGACAATAGTGACTGAACACGGAGTTGCTTAATATCCTCAGTTCGGATAAGCCAGGTTTCACAATGATAAAGGGAACTACTATCACCGAGGAATTATAAACCTGACCTTTTACACCAAAGCATTACGTTGGCCCAGATTGGCATAAGCCACTCTGGCTGTTATTATAAGTAGGCGGGTCTCATCACTCACGACACCATCAGCACTCAGACAACTAACCACATACACGAACTTCTCAACTACTGCCGGCTTACCATAAAGAGTGAGTGCAAGGACAAGTCCCTCCCAGTCTTGCAAAAATACTTCGTAGCTAAAAGATCCAGCTCATATTCCAAGAGGGGTAATAAGATTCAGTAATTGAAAGGTGCACAGCACAGGCCATACCTGGGGACACTGACTGCCAATTAGTTAAGTGAGACTTGCATAGCTTATGCATCATCGCACAGTAAGACAATATCGTCTGTATACTCAAGGTCGAAAATTCCTTCTCCGGGCAACTGATCCACACCAATACTATATATATATCCATATCCAACAGGGCTGTTTCCAGATTATCGTCGATCACAAAGTTGGGAGAAAATGGTAAGATTGGGAAATCCTACCTAACTCCACCCCAACTACAGCCAGCCTCGACGAGCGACGTTGACTAGACGTAGAAGGCTAGGGGAAAGTCATGGGGGACCAAAACAAGAAATGACATCAGTTTATAAAGTCACTGACTTTATGGAAGTAAATAAACTTAATGACCAGGTACTTGGACGAAAAATTCCAAATGATCTCAGAGCTTTTATTCACATCAACAAGCAAAGATTAGTTTCGGTATATTTGGATCAAGCCAAAAGGAATACTAGTAGGACTCAGATCAACTAAAAGTACGGATACTAAATGAAAACAGCTGTGGGAATAAACTAGTATAGCTAAAAAAGTATTATTTACTAAATAACTCGGCATAATAACCCATTTTCAATTTCTAGAACTGAAATTTATTTGAAACCATGAAAAAAAGCATTTAGTGCTTCGACTTATGCAGTTTCAGAAATAGAACAGACTGAAAGGCGAAAACGGACACATTCAACTAGTTTCAGGACCTCTGACTACTTAAAACACTTAAGTACGGCCTTCCGATTGACTTACTATATCCAGTTATTATCCCCAAATGCCCTGGTACAGCCGAGTGGGGGGAGTCCGCTCTCCCTCTCCAAATGCTCTCACTTGGCCAGCGAATATATAGCCTCCGACAGGGAAGTCCTACTCACTGCCTTCTCGTGGCATTACCGCTGTTTACGAAATTGAGAGGACGAAAAGCGAATGTCCGGCGCTTTAACAGGGTTGGTGGACATGGAGGGTCAACCGAGGGGAGTTGAATAACCCTGATTCCAAACCAATGGTGCACATGGGCTCCAGAATCCTGATGGAACGAATGGCGTATGAACCTATTGTTGGTCACCGGCTACCATGGGACTGCATCTCTTCACGATGCCCCACTGCCTTGTGGACCAGATCTTTAGGTCAAAGGCTCGGGGTGTGGCCCCCTAAGAAAACCACCTGCTTCAGTCTAGGCACCTGGGCAGTATCTCAGCCCTCACACAGATCAAATGAGATTTGTGAGGCGCATATTTATCTGGTGCTTTTTGTACCAATATTCATGTGTTTAAATAATAATAATAACATTTGAAAGGCTAAAGATTAGTGAGACTAATTTATGGGTGACCGTTGAGGGATAATAAACCACACTTGCGAGGGAAATTTAGTGATGGTATCCGAAGGAAGGAGTAATTATTTAAGGCATTATTTGAAACTCGATGGTCTCGGCTTCGCAACTATGCCAAAGGTTTATAGCTATGTTGTCCAAGTTCTTGGACTAAAGAATGAGACTATTTTGTAGACAGTAACATTTACCAATGAGTCACTCGTACCTCTGGAGAGTTATAGAATGAGGACTAGCTACTTCGTAATTAAAATTAATGACACATAGAAAACATAAGTAACTGATATAGAAGCAAGATCATTGAGAAATACTTGTGAGGTACATCAAAACAACTTCAACACGAGTCTTCTGATTAGGATTAATAACTGGATGGAAAGGTTAGTAAGCAGACCCGCATTGAAGTTACTTCGGGATACCGTTAAAGTATTTAACTATGAATCTGAATTTGAGTCCCATGTTTTTGTGCTTTAAATATAAACTTGGTTTTTGGGTACAGTAGTGCTTTTGAACTCAATAATGAAGTGTAACCAGAAACCGAAAGAATGATTTCAAGCACAAATAATGAAGGATACTTAGTATATTCACACTTACCATCTAAAGAGTCATATTTACATCCCAATATGTAAACAGATTTGGAAACACTAGGAAGATAAGGATGGTCAGGAATTGAACCTGAATAATTGAAAAGTGCTATAGAAATTTGCTCTAAAATAATATTTAACAAACCCTCCCACTGGGAATCCATGATACATTAATAAACCAAGTAGAACATTTTCACATCCCTGTTTCAGTAGCGAACTAGTAATAATAACCGCTGCATATTTGGAAGTATTCAAAGTGTTCATTGATTGTCATCGGCAATGAATGCTGTGAACCTTTTGGCCTTTGTTATAATTTACAGCAATCATTTACACGAAGGACCAGTTTCTTCACAAAATGTTTTAACAATGGTGATGATAAGCAGAGATGGATAGTGGCTAGCAGTGGAATCCAGGACGCGCGTTTCGTCCTATTTGGGACTCGTCAGCTGGATGTACCTGCATGGTGATGATAATTTGTCTTTTACCGGGTTGTTAAAGTCTTCAGTCTTCAGCCAATCTTTAATAATTAAAATATTAGGTTGATGAAGCTGTGTCCACATTTACAGTTTGTTTTTCAATGGCCAAGGTTGTTCGCGTAAGACGTTCCAGTTATGACCACTCGATGAGAAAAAACGGAACTTTACTCTGAGTTTATTGGATCTCGGTTTTTGAACCTTCTTGATATGGCCTCAAAGAAGATTAGTGCTGGAGGGAGCAAAAACATAGGACAAATTAACACCCAAATCATAATTTAAAATACGTAATGACGATATAAGGTCAGCTCACATTCTTCCATACGATAAGAGGAAAAGGTTTAGACGTTTTATGCATTCGTCTTCAGACCTTTCACTTACCTTCAACACTTCAAAGTGCAAGGTAGTCCATCTGAGACATGTTGCAGACTATAATTATAACTTAGGTAACTCACCTCTAGAAGTTTCCCAAGTTGAAAAAGATTTAGGAGTGTTGGTACCCTACGACCTGAAATCGTATGCGAACTGTGACAAAAACGCCTCTCAAGCAAACCTTGCACTGGTAACATTGAAGCGCATTTTTGGCCAGTTTGACGGTAGAACCTTCCACATAATCTTCAACAGTTTTATTCGTTCCCACTTAGAGTACGGAAACATAGTATTTCCTCCCTCCCTCCAAAAGGATAAGGTCACTCTGGAACGTATACAACGTCGAGCCACGAAATCAGTTCGGGGTCTCAAATTCAAACCTTATGAAGAGCGCCTCAAATCACTTAACCTTTACCCGTTAGAGTATAGGCGTCTTAGATGTGATCTTCTTATGACTTATAGTATCCTTAATACTTCTGGTCATCCCCTTAAACAACTTCTTAAGCTTAGTCACAACACTAACCTGAGAGGTAACACCCAGAAATTGGAGACCCTACATAGCAGAACAGACTGCGGACACAACTTCTACTCCGTTAGAGTTGTCAAGTGCTGGAATTCGCTGCCGACTGAGCTAGTCCAAGCGACCTCCCAGGAGTCCTTTAAGAGAAAACTTGACTTATTCTTAAGGACTAAGGATAACATATTATTATGATTTACCAAATCCTTTTTTTCCCCTCTATTATCGTTCATATACCTAGGTTCTTGCCTGGAGGTATTGGTGATCCACTGCTAACAGACACGGAAGCCCATTAAGCGAAAGCTTCTTCTATTCCGTCCTCAACCATTTGAACCATTTGAACTTATTCCGTTCCCACACGCCGAACAGGTTGAATTGAGTTAGTTCTCTTATAAGACATAGACTTGCTGCTTGGATACAGTACTCTAAGTGTGGTCTTACATATATAAAATTTGGAACATCTCACCAAAGCATTTTAATATTTGGCGAAGTGACCACAACGTAAGAAAACCTTTGGCAGCTGCTGCGCCGCAATATGTAACTGTTTTCAAGTCGTGGCTTACTATTACATCTAAGTCTTTGTGTTCCTGAACGCATTAAAGAGGTATGACGTCAGAAGCATGCTGGTAACCGTTACCATATTCGATGTGCATGAGCACACTCTCTCCAGAATTAATTTCCAAGCCCTAACATTGGGACAATTTAACCAATTCGTCTAGGTCAGTTTGTAAATCAAAATATACAGTCATACTCCTTATCGTTTTTCGGATTTTGACAAAATCCGCAAACAATAATGTCGATGACTTAAGCGACCGCGGCAATTCATTGACATAGAGAATAAAAAGTAGGAAACCTAAGATGATGCCTCGGGGCATTCTACTTCTGACCGGCTTCCATTCAGAGTCTTCCATTTGTTCTCAGTCTATGTCTTCGGCCACATAAGAAGTTTCTTATCCGCTCCTGTACATCACCTGTCATTCCGCAGCCGGAGAGCTTCTTCATAAGACTTGAGTGAGGAACCTTATCAATTGTTTTGCTATAGTCAGTGAATATCAGATAGATAGACAAATCGTTATCTACGGCTGCTGCTGAATCCTCTTTCACAATAATCAAGTTGGTCGAGCACAAATGCTTGTTCAAACCCCCTGTTGCTCTAAAGTTAACAGGTTGTATGATTCTATGCGACTTAGTAACTTAAACCGAGTCATCTTTTCAAGTAAATTGGCTATTGCGCTGGTTAAGCTGGTTAGGACTAACTGCGGCATCTTTCCAATCCCTAGGGGATTGTGTGCGGGAACGGGATATGTTGAAGAGCATTATAGATGGCCTTGAAATAACGTCTGCGGGAGGTGATGAAAATGGTGGATGCAACCTATCACGGCTCGGTATCTTACTAGGTCTGAGGTCAATCACCTATTGAAGGACAGTCACCTCAGCCACATGTTCAGGTAATACAACTGGCAACACACTAGTGTGGTTATGATATATATTGTTAATAATACCCACAGACGTTTCTGAAATAGTGTGATAAGGTTTTAGCCTTCGCGAAATCTGATTCAGCCAGTATATCTAAATTTTCCTACACGCGCTATTTAAAAGGACAGTGGTATTGTTTCACGCTGAGCTTAATTCACTGTTTTTATCGTAAATTACGTATCAAAACTACCGTTTACACTTTAATTGAATTTATTTCAGTTAATGTGTCATTGCATTTGTGTGTTTTGATCCTGCTTTTGTGTATTTAACTCCGCCTGTAGCTCTTCTAGAGTTACTGCCGGTCCCAAGCCCACACAAAGGAGGAGGGTTGGGCATGGGGTTAGCGACCCCATCCCGTAGAAAAGCTAACTCGCTAAAAAAACGCTAACCAGAAAAAATAATTCAAACCATTTAAACTCTGCCCTCCGAGTTGAAGGAATAATGACGTCTCATGATGAAAGCCGAAATTCTTCGGAAGTCACGAGACCGATGCACCTTCTAACAACCAGAGCAACACTCTTTATAGATACATGGAACGTCCGGACAATGTAGGAAACAGGAAAGACCAGCCAAATAGCAATGGAAATGAGGAGATACAACTTGGCAGTACTCGGAATCAGCGAAACCCATTGGACACAAACTGGACAACAAAGGCTAGGTACAGGAGAGATGCTGCTGTACTCCGGTCACGAAGGGGAAAATGCGCCACACACTCAGGGAGTTGCTCTAATGCTGTCCAAAGAAGCACGAAATGCACTTGTGGGATGGGAATCTCATGGACCCAGGATAATCAAAGCATCATTCAGAACAAAGAAGCAAGGGATCACAATGAATGTTATCCAATGTTATGCACCCACCAATGATAGCAACGACGATGATAAAGATCAGTTCTATGAAAGGCTGCAATCAATTATGGAGAAGTGCTCACGAAAGGACCTCACCATCCTTATGGGAGATCTAAATGCTAAAGTTGGAGTGGACAACACAGGATATGAAGATGTAATTGGACGACATGGACTAGGAGAGAGAAATGAAAATGGGGAGAGACTTGCAAACCTATGTGCTTTCAACAAATTGGTTATAGGCGGCACAATATTCCCACACAAACGCATACACAAAGCTACATGGATCTCACCGGACCACACCACAGAGAACCAGATTGATCACATCTGTATCAACAAAAAATTCCGAAGATCAATGGAAGATGTGAGAACCCGGAGAGGAGCTGACATAGCTTCAGATCACCATCTGGTTGTGGCCAAGATGAGACTGAAGCTTAAGAAACACTGGACAACTGGACAAACAGCACTACAAAGGTTTAATACAGCCTTCCTTCGAGATACTGACAAACTCCATGAATTCAAGATAACTCTCAACAACAGGTACCAAGCTCTACAGGATCTACTGAAAGAACAAGGAACTACTTTGGAGGACAACTGGAAAGAGATAAAAGAAGCACTAACTTTAACGTGTCAGGAGGTTCTTGGTCCTAAGAAGAATCATCACAAGGAATGGATCTCTATGGGTACCCTGGACAAAATTCAAGAAAGGAAGAACAAGAAACTAGCAATTAACAACAGGCGAACACGAGCAGAGAAAGTCAAAGCACAAGCAGACTAGGCAGAAGCAAACAGGGAAGTGAAGAAAAGCATTAAAGCCGACAAGCAGAAATATATGGGAGAACTAGCAACGGCGGCGGAAAAAGCTGCAAGAGAAGGAATATGAAACAACTATATGATACAACGAAGAAATTGGCAGGGAGATATAGCAAACCAGAGAGACCAGTCAAAGACAAAGAAGGAAAGACAATCACTGAGATTCAGGAACAGAGGAAAAGATGGGCAGAATACTTTGAGGAACTGCTGAATAAACCAGCCCCATCGAATCCACCGAACATCGAAGAAGCCCACACAGACCTTCCAATAGATGTCACTCCCCCAACGATCGAAGAAGTCAAGATGGCCATCAGACAAATCAAAAGTGGGAAGGCGGCAGGACCTGACAATATACCAGCAGAAGCACTGAAGTCAGACATTGAAATAACTGCAAACATGCTTCACCTTCTATTCAAAAAGATTTGGGAAGAGGAACAAGTGCCAACGGAATGGAAAGAAGGATATCTCATCAAGATACCAAAGAAAGGAGATCTGAGCCAATGTGAGAACTACAGGGGTATCAGTTTGTTATCAGTACCAGGAAAAGTTTTCAACAGAGTGCTGCTGATTCGGATGAAAGACGCAGTAGACGCCGAACTTAGGGATCATCAGGCTGGATTCCGTAAGGATCGGTCGTGCACAGACCAGATTGCGACACTACGGATCATCGTTGAACAATCAGTTGAGTGGAACTCATCACTATACATCAACTTTATTGACTACGAGAAGGCGTTTGACAGAGTGGAAAGGAGAACATTATGGAAACTTCTTCGACACTATGGAGTTCCTCAAAAGATCGTCAACATTATCCAAAACTCATACGATGGATTACAGTGCAAAGTGGTGCATGGAGGACAGCTGACAGATGCATTTCC